GAGATGAGAAAAATTTCAAAATTAAAGGAACTAAGAACAGCTGCATGTAATCACAAGTGATCTTCAGAGCTCTCTTAGCTTGGACTACAGGGTCTTTCTTTCCCTGCTTCTCACCAGCCACCCACACAGGAGACTTAAGAGCCAGCCAGACTAACACTTTCCCAAAACCTTGGGACTAGCAGCCACAGTGACACCCCCCCACTCCTGCTAAAATCAGTCTCCATGGTGCTGGTTAAAATCAGGGTCCACAAACTACCTCCTCTCCAGCCACTAGCAGAAAGATTTACCACTGTGGGTGTCCAGCAAAGGAGCAGACCTGCACGCTAGCACTGTCTGGGGTTGCTACCACACGAGAATTGCTGTTGACTGTGGTTGGCCTAGTGTAGTTTATTCAGCAGCTCCAGCATTGTTTAAAATAAGCACACATGTAGATGAAATTATCCTCTCTTTCCACAAGACAGATTTTTAAAAAAAAAAAAAAATCTATCTCTGCTTTGTGAAAAAGGATGGGAGTTTTACTAACTCTCTGAAGTGGAAGTACTCCACAGAGACAAAATTATGTGGGAAAGGGGAATCAATTTTTACTAACCTCTCTTCCAATGTCATGCTACTTTGTAATTTTCAGTGCAACCTCTGATATCAGATGCATTCTCAAGAGTCATGGGAATTGTCAGTGCAAGTATATTTAGCCATATCCCTTTGGGTAGGTGGGGGAGGAAAGAGACCCCTAAATAGCTGTAAGATAACAATTACTGCAAGCATATTTGCTTAGACAAACTTTAGTCAAAGTTCAGAGAAAAGACAAGGCCTTGGCAGCTTGGTGAGGAGCATGCTCAGCAGAGAAACCCCTCTGCTTTCCTTAGGTCTGCTCCACATGCTCTAAGCGCTCCACGGTGCAAAACAAATGCTTAGAGAAGTGGCAAATTATCTAGAACTCTCTCCCCTCTAACCAAAGAAGTCAAATCCAAGCCTTTCACCATAGAAAGCAGGGTTTTTGTTTGGTTGGATTTGGGTTTTTGGTTTGGTTTTTTTTTGGGGGGGGGGGATTCCCACTATTCACAATATTGCCAAAAAAAAAAAATTTTTTTTTTTTTTTCAAAAAGGTTCACAGCACTTTAAGAGACAAGTGAAAATGTCCTGGCTTTCATTCAACTGCATTCTTAGTGGGAGTGGGGAGAAGCCTCCCCCACAGCTGCAGGAGAAAACTGTGCGATTCAGGCTGGAAAAGGAGGAGGATGTGACCACTGAACACTGTTAAAAATAAAACTTATCAGATGACAATTGAATTATGAGAATGTTATCTGGTTCAACAGGAGTGTGAAAACAAATAGGCATTTCAAGAAGAGGGTCACTAGAAGGTAAATAACTTCAAAATAGCAGGAAGTGACCAAGGAAATGTGCCAAACTGATGGCAACAGAGCTCTCCCCGACAGCGGCGGCCACAGATTTGGGAGTCACCTCATCCAGCTGTGTGGCACTGCACCCCCCCGCCGCAACCCTGGACATGGTAAGACACAAAAAAGATTTGCACAAGACAACATTTAACATGACCCAGTGTTTATTGACTCCTGCCACATTTTATTTTGTTTTAACAGTAACAGGAACACAAAATGTGATGCATGGTAACATACTACTAGGGGTTTCTGTATCAATCCGATGCAAAGTGCCAGCATTGTTGACCAGCATACAACCTGACAAGAGAAGATGTAGTCATAACTTGCTCTCAGATATCTGCTGGGAGTACAGCACAAAGTAGAACTAGTTATTTGCCTGCAAATAGATACATTTTCTTCTAGATGCAAGTGGTATTAGAGCCAGCTATTTTGCAATAACAACAACAACAAATACATATTAATATATTCCAACATTTTAAAAACTCAGTAGGAAAGGACTAAAACTGTTTAAGGAGAAGGAAAAAGAAGGAAAAAAATCTTTTCAGACACTACTTTGCAGAGGCCATTCCTCATAGAACCAGAAGTAATCAAGAGAAAATATGATTTATTAGAGGCTACCTTGCTCAAAAGGCCAGTGGTTACAGGTTTAAGAATAAAAATAGTCTCGACTTTCAGTACTCTCTACTGGCTTTTTTTCTCCCTGCACAACAAAAACCACTTGTTGGAAATTGTGGCTTGGTAGTTCTGGATATTTTTCCAATGCAATTGCATTTGGAAAGGCAATTGTATTTCTTAAAGAGCCATGAAAAACTTGCATGACACACACGTGGCATGTAACATCTTCACAGATATGAATGATGAAGGCACATTACCAAAAGGTTGAAAAAACCCAGTAAAACTTTTGGAGGACTAAAAATTAAATGCCTTAGAGAAAACACTCTTTTTTCACAACTGGGTAGCAAGTCCTGTTTAGCCATAGATGGTTCAAACAGTTCGCCATGAAGACAGCACACAAGGAAAGGAAAGAGTCTCCTTGAAATGCCCTCCCTACTGCACCAGCCTGCTTCCCCCACACTTCTTCAGACAATTTCATTCTTGTAGAGCAGTTTGCAACAGTTCCAGAGACAGGCAAGAGAAATCTGTGTAGAAAACATCAAGCCTGTGCATTCCTACATGACCAACACCCCACCCACTCCCCCAATTAAACTACAGCATCTTTGAGGAGATCATCCCACTGACCAGGAAACAGGGTAAAGGGCTGGAACAGAGAAATGAGGAACCAGTTTCAAAACCCTGCGCCCTCAACTTTTTTGATCTTAATTATATGTGTTAATAAAGAAAAAGACCATGCTCTCTGACACAGAATAATTGTTCTCTCCTCTATCTGGATCAGGAAGATATTGGCTAAAAATGAAAATATGTACTCTATTTACAATAAATGCATCTGTACTGCTCCATACTCCATCCACCACACACATGTTGCTGACCACCATTGAAGCCAGGTGGTAGCAATAGAGGTAACTGAAGTACCTTTCTTTTTCAACCTTTACACAAAGCCCTTCCCCTCCCACCCCATTGTTTTTCCACTGTTCTAGGCTCCAGTGAGATGTGTACTAACATCTCTTTCTAGTGCATTTTTTTTTTAAGGTTACAGTTTCTAAAGGCAAAGCAAGCTTTGCTCTGCTCTGGTTCAGCTGTCTTTGTCCCCTTTAAAATCATGTAGGAGTTCCAGATTTACGTGCCATTATCAACTTTGCATAGCAATACAACAGGTTTGGTTCCTCCCCCCCTTTTTAAATAATAATCCTGTGCCCCACCCCCCCTTTTTTTTTTCCTCTGCACCTACCATCTTTCAAAGGGTTACCTCTCACTCTCAGGGAAGAGCCCTAAATCTTTCTCCTCCCACATGAACATTGCAGAATGCAAATATCAAGTTACCTTCAAGTCTATGTTGTGCTACTTAGAAGCAACTGTAGTGGAATAATGTTTTTCCTAACATTAAAGGACATTTAAGTGATTATTTGTCTTTTTGTAGTCTTGAGTTATAAGAATATTTGTCACACATGTTCCCTCATATTCCTCTCTTAAGGTGCACAGTGGTCAGGCTGAACAAAGTCCAGCCCATAAGACCATCGCTGGATCTCTGGGAGAAGCCAGAGAGAACATGGGATTTCTTAGGACTACTGTAGTTACATTCAGAATTCAAAGACAGGGTGAAGGATGCCCAGTTTTTGGGATTCGGTTTTGTTTGGTTGTTTTTTTGTTGGTTTTTTTTTTTTTTTTTTTGACAGAACCACTTAAAAAAATACTCCATTTCTGTTATTTTTTATGTCACAAAAGTTATTTCTTTTCTGTCCCATGCAGCTGTTGCCCTTCTGTCACTGATGTTTAATAGCCACCATGGCGTGTTACCTTATCATTCCCTAGCTCAAGCGCACCAGAGCCGGCCCGCAGACCCATCGCTAGCATGGGAGCCCAGCACAGCGTGGAGCTGGTGCAGGGGCCGGCGGCTCAGACAGCCCACCTTCACCACCACGGGCAGGTGGCATGGGAAAATATGGGAAACCACAAAGGGCATCTATACGGAACATTTAATGGGGTCTGACATAGACACTGACAACATGAGACAAAAAAAACCTGAATGCAAGTGAGTGTATTAGGTTGAGAATAATTAGTGTGAGCAATAAATACATCTACCACCAGCTCCCAGCTTCATTAAGAGCTATTCTGAACTGCAGAGTAAGTGCTGGTTCTAGAAGCTCAGGTAGATTGGAGATAGCTCACCAGTTACTCATTGAGTCTCTTAAGTTTTTAAAAAGAAAAAGGAGAAAAAAAACGTGCTTTGCCATTTGAATAAATCTGATCTCATGGCTTGGGCACAGCAGAAGTAGTTACCTGGCGTAACACATCAGTTGAAACAGAATCGCTGTTTCATTCAAATTACATACACATGCAAAGTTAAATAAGTGTGTTAACTAAGGATAAGCAGCATAGAAATCAAGTCTAAGTTACCCATTGTTTATCATACATTTGTCAGACTACCAGACATATATTTTCCTTTCAGATTCATATCTGTGTCATACAAAACATAGTAGATGAAGTCACAAAAATACCACTTAACTCTACACATCATTGGCCTTTAGTGCCAATGCATTGCATGCCATCAGCCTTCCAAGTTTACCAAACTTTGGGGAGAAAACAGCTGCTTTACCAAGCTTTGAAAATACAAAAAGGTACAACCCATCCTGCTCAGAAAAGAAAAGAAATGGTTTTACAAAGTTGTAGACAGATGCATAACTACTCTCCCCCTCAGTCCTGGGACAGAAAGGGCAGCACAACTGCACAGCTAGAACTTGACTCTTGAAAAAGCAACAAAATCCAGGAAATGCGATGACTAGACAAAAAAATCTGTTTGGAAAGTCCTGCTGTCAAAGAGCTGAGCCAACATTCTGCGCAGCAAAGTGATGAACAGTACATCGACAGACCCATAAGATGACACTCTACAAAAATCCAGTTTAATTTCACATTTCCAATACCTCTCCTCAGCAGTCTGCCACAGATTTTAAAACTTGTAAAGCTCCTTCCCATTGAGCTAGATTCCCCCCACCCCATAAAGTGCAAATAAGACTCTGGTTTTTACCACTAGTTCCAATGATCATTATCTTGGTTACAAGAGTGATCAAAAGCCAGTCGGCTGAGTCACTACCACTAGGCTTAGTGATACTTTTTTTTTCTTTTTTTTCTTTTTTTTTTTTTTTTTAAAACCCTGGTTACTTTTTCCAGCAAAAGGCAAATAGAAAACAAGTGTTCCTTCTGCCAGATGCAGGCATGACAGGAGGCTGCCTTAAGTACCATCAATATAAGATGCGCATGCTAGACACAGCCAGTGCGTTCTTGTGCATAACAAGAATTTGCCCTTGTTTGCTGGAAATGGAAGTCATCTTTGGGATCTTATTTCCTCACAAAAGAGTTCAGGAACAGTTAATTAGTCTTCATTAAGAGGTGCTTCTCTCTTCCTTGCATCTACACAGAAAAGATGAAAAAAGGAGAGGTGGTTAAGCCAGAGGTTTCTGATGGCATTTATCTAAAAATTCAGAAACAGAATAAAGTTGGGGTTGTTTAGCGTTTTGTGGGGTTTTTTTGTTTTTGGTGTTTTTTTTGGGTTTTTGTTTTTTGTCCCCCCCCCCCCCCAACGGACAGCACTTTCCATTTCAGACTCATGATAGGAAATCACTACATGGACTGAAATGCTGTATGAATCCACAGCACAGTAATGAGATAGTCATGCCAAGGTTTTGTACATTTGGCCTGTTGAAACTGAAGATGACTCATGCAGTATTTAAGTGGCTCAAAACACTTTCAGACTCCAGGCCTGTGATACTTTCCCCCCCCTCCCCATAGACTCTTGGCCCCTTTCAGGGTGAAGCCAGTATTTGCTTTGCATACCAGCTACAAAGATGACAATAGTCTGTTCTGAAAAGCATTTGACTAATTACAACTTTGCTGGTCCCCAGCTGCCTAGAAGACGTTTTAAAAAAGATGAATGCTCTCCACACTGTATTTTGAGGAACTGCTTGAGGCAGTGCCTGAAGACCAGATCTTAAACTGCTCCAAACAGCAAACTTTTGAGCATGGCCCCTGGTAGGGTGTTGAGGCACATTCTGGACAGCACGGTCCATTACTCATATGCCATTACTACAGCAGCAGGCAGTGTGGTTGCTGTTAGGAAAGCTGGGTTCACCTCTTCCCAGGCTTCCGCAGCAGTGTCTCAGGGCTGACTTTAAGCTATCCATGAGACCCAGCTGAATGCAGGTAGCTCTTGAGGTGCACCATGATCACAGCTACTCTAGCAACTGCCTGCCAAAAGATGCACTTCTATATATTTCTAAACTTAATTTCTTTCTAACTCAATCTATATATTCCAAGGTCATTATGAATATCCCCACTCAGAAACTACTTGTAAATTAAAGACAAATCCATTTTGCATTACTGCAGGCCCCACTGCCCTTCATTAATATAGAAACCAGGCCCCTGTTTAGCCAGAACATTTAGAGAACACGATTATGAAACTGTTTGTGTAAGTCTCATGACTTTCTGATAAACAAAGTTTGGAGGAGATAAAATCTACTTCTGAAATAACAAAAGAAGAGCTTTGAGACTCCCAGTGACTGGAGCAGCCACCCGGGGTGGGACAAAATCTCAGCAGCCATTTGGGAGGGGGAAAAAAAAAAAAAAAAAAAAAATCAGAAACCACCCCTCCTGTGTTCCCCATCACACTCAGCAGGCATACTGAGGCCAGGCCTGAATCTTCTTCTGTCACAACTTCTCCACTTCACATAAAATAACTGATTAGTGATTAGAGAAGAAAAAAGAGTTTTCTAAAAATTAGTGTCATACCCATCTAGCTACAGTTATTCCCAGTCTGTCTCTGACTGTGGAAATATCAAAATGCATTAAATTCTTTCTGGTGAACATTTATAAAATAATCATACCAGTCAAGTTCCTGAACTTTTTTTTGGCTTCTGCTCTTTCTTCGGCATCAAAATACCACACGGTCATGGCATATCTATAAAAGAAAGAAATTGTGTGTTTGTTTCGACTTTTGCTATTAAAATAGAGCCCTGGAGTTTTACACTCATGGAGAAAGCAAAAAACAAAACTGGAATAGTAAGTAAAAAAAAAAGGATGCAAATGGCACATCTTTATAGACAAATATAGACAGCATTTTAAATGTCTACTTTATCAAGTAAGATAGAAATATAGGTGAGAATTTCTGCTTGGAGGCATAAAAGAGTGCACAGCCCGTGGCAACAGAGGGCAAAAGTAGCTTACGGACCTTTACATGTTTTTCTGTTCTGGGATGCCCGCAGGCAGCTTGGGGGTTGCCCTGCATCACATCAGCTTTTCGTAGCCTGTTGACAGATGGTAGCCCCAAGAATCCCTATAGTGTTACGAGGGCAAAAGTATAACCCACCTAAATAGCTATGTCTGGCTTGGAAGATTTCTCCTGTCAATGGTAAAAGGGCTTTTTTTCCATCACACAAGGAATCTTCCCATTCAAGCTTGTTCTTCTCCTCATTTGATAAGAGAATTTCCAGTGATTAAAACACATAAAATCCAGCTATATATATTTTTATGCACATGTGTATTGAAACAAACACATGATGGCCATAATTTAAGATACAAATATTGGTAGGAGACATGCCTTTGTTTTTCCTGGCCAAACATCAATACCAAATACGCTACTTACCTGGTTGCATAAGAAGGCTGGACTTCATGTGGGTTCCTTCGATCTGACCAAAAAAAAAGTAATCGGTCAAAAATCGGCTCAACATCTGCTACATAGGACTTTCCTTCTGGGAATATCCGAAGAATTCCACCATGTAGCTGAAAGAAAAGAAAAGGTTGCTTTTCATACATATAAACACCCACACATTCATGCGAACAATGACTTATTTCTTCCTCCTCAGCACCCAACAAATGAGGAATAAACATCTAACGATAACCAAGACAGCTACATGACAACACTGGAAAACCATACACTGAATCTCTTGGCCACCTTGATTTTCCCAAACAGCTTGTAATGTTTCAGTGTAAACATCTGGCTGAAGTAAATGAACCAAGATAAAGACAGCATTGGCCCTGTAACTAACACTGGGAAACTTCTGAGCTCCCAGTCACATCTCTAGAACCAGGGAGTACCACAAGGCAGGTAAGGGTGCTCCACTTGACCAGTCCAAGATCAGACTCTCCTTCCAGCAATTGCTAGATACTGCTTACAGTATTTTAGAGCCTGCATCTGATCATATAGGAGTTAGTTAAGGAAAAAAAACAGCCTGGGAAGAGTGAAGTTACAAATCCAATAATAGAACAGACATCTCACAAATGCATTATAGCTCCCAGTCAGTCTTTTCCCTCCTCATAACACAGCCTGGTTTCTCCACCACATCATTTCTTTTTCCACGTGCCATGAGTTTCAGGGGAAAAAGTCTGGTGATCTGCATGCACTGTAGAAACTTCAAAAGATGCAGATGAACTCTGCCTCCTCTCTGCTACTGTCAAAGGGCTCTTTGGAGGCTTTTATGCTGCACCAGAGTGCAGGAAAGATGCTATCAACCCAACACAATCTGACTTAGTACTTCCACATGGCATGCAAAACTCCATAAGCAACTATTATGTCAGGTTTAAAGCAACACGGTTGCTTTCAATGGCCAGCATGTTTATATTGCATCTCCTCCAGCATACACTTGCATAAAATTACCATCACATCTACGTAATAGTCTCCATCACTATCCCGGATTTCAGTTAGCTTTCTTAGTGTCCGCTTGAGTGCTTCCTCACTATTAGAATAAGAGTGCAGTCCACCAAATAAATTGGATATTTGCACTTCTTCCCACATGTCCTCCTTCATTTTATTACATTGAGATGTTTCACTGTCATAATCCCCGCAAAGGAATGTGTTTTTCTTCATCAGTGCATTTTTAAGTGGCATTGGCTCTAAACCTGAACTCACTTTTGGGGTTCATAGTATTTACCAGTGCTTAAAGAGCATCCACCTAAAGTGGTCAAGACAGGTTAGAGACACAAAAAACATTGGGCAATTTTCAATAGATAATCCACATGAATGGTTTGTGCTGTATTATGACAACAACAGTGTAACGGGACATTCTGCAACTTTACAAACCCTTATTTTGTTTCTAACTTAAAAGTTATGGTAAATTCAAAGCTGACGTTATTGCCTTATAGTAACACAGGCAGAAACAAGAGCACCATCCTGCCAAGAGCCCCACTGGTGGATTCAAAGATGAAGAGGACAAACCAAGCCATGTGCTTGTTCCTCTTACTAAGCCCATCACTTCACAATAATAAAACCACAAGCCCATCACTTCACAATAATAAAACCATCTTCAGCTGCCTGAAGATCTTCTGCAGGTTAGCCTGAAAGAACAGTATAAAGAACGCTAAAGTCCCAAATTTGGGCTGTAATTTTCTTCTGCTCCCAGAATCCACTTATTCCCTAGTGGATTATGTTTTTCTTTCTAGTGCTTCATTGCTCTTTCCTCTAAACAAAGCATAAGAGCCAGCAGCCCAGTGCTTAGAAGCTTTATTCTATGGCAACAAAACAATATGTGTGTGGGATGTGAGAGAGAATAAGGAAACAGCTCAGATTCTTACTTCCAAAGGGTTGCCATAAACACCATGAAGAACGGACCAGCTGTTCAAAAGTTCACCAGAGTTCACAGAGCAACTGACAGCTCCAAAGCTCTGTTTCTGAAGTATTTTCCCCTTCATGTTCTGCCTCAACCCTGTGGCGCACTCACCTTGGAGTCCCAGTTCTTATTCAGGTAATAAATACAGGTGATGCAGCGCCCATCGCCATTTGGATTGTCCACATGACGAACATACCCAGTTCCATTTCCAGGATAGCAAGCAACCATAGCCTGAAAGAAAAAGATTGTAAAAAAAATAAATTCTACAAGATGCCCACCTTCAGTTTTAATTTGCTAAGCATCTTCCCACCACTGGTTTGACTCAGCATTTTTCAGATGATCAATCCAAAACCTACAGCAGACACCACCAGAAGGTATCTTTGCACAAGCTTCTTTCATTGGGTGAGTCAGTGTGACATGCTAAACTGGAAATAAATACCCTTCATACTTCACAATATATACACTAAAGTAGGAGGAAAAAACCCTGAATTAAACTAAAACACTGGTTTGTATGGTACAAGCTTTTGTTCTCCACAAGCTACGTGACTTTGAGGCAGTTTCAGCTGAAGTTTGCTTGCATTTCTAAAGCTGAGCAGTCATTGCAAAACTGATTTTTGCAGTCATAACGAAAGTAGAAAGTGATCCCAGGATGTCACGCCTTACTACCACCATCTTCCTCTATTCATCTTCCAGTCCCTGTCACATACATCCCTATGGTCCAACACAAAGTGAGGGTCCCCAGGAGGTGTGGGTAAAAGTCCATAGAGCAAAGTCTGCAAAAATCTGCAACTCCTTTGTGCTGTGTTTGCACAGGGCAGAGCATGTTTGCTTTCATGGACTGAGCCACAGAACTAACCAAACAGCTTTCAGAAGCATACTTCTCTCTTTGATCATCTCCAGACTTGCTGATACAATCACTTAATTCACAGTTTAAATTTCACCTTGAACGATGAGATAAGCCTACCATCAATGACTCCAAACCACACGACAGTCAACAGGTCTTAAAAGGGGTTTTACAGCAAAAACATATTAAACTTGAGTTGATACTGCTAGCAGCCTAACCAGGGAAGAGCAAGTGAGACTGCTGATAGGGTACCGGATCTTTGCCTCAGTCAGTCCTTCGCTATTGGGACTATTTGGCAGTGATATCACCCACCTTCCATAGAGTTTACTCCACTAAAGCTGTCGCAATAGAAGTCTCGTTCCCACAAGCCAACCATCCAACCAGTTTTTTATCCATCTAGATTTCCATCCATCCAAACCATAACATCCCAACCCTGGATACAAGAGTATTGTACATGCCTACGCTCCAGAATGAGGATGTGACTGTGCACCATTTCATGACCTGCCCCTAATAATCTGCCCAGCACAGTTGATAGATTGACAGTATAGGCTTTACCGAGAGCAACTGAAGTTTTTATTTAGGAACCCCAGAGGCCTTGTTTTCTGCTTCCCAGCTGTCATGGTTTTACCCCAGCCGGCAGCAGAGCACCACACAGCCACTCACTCATTCCTCATCACAGAGGGACGGGGGAGACAATTGGAAGAGTAAAAGTGAGAAAACTCGTGGGTTGAGATAAAGACAGTTTCATAGGTAAAGCAAAAGCCACGCACACAAGCAAAGCAAACCAAGGAATTCATTCCCCACTTCCCATCGGCAGGCAGCTGTTCAGACATCCCCAGGACAGCAGGGCTCCATCATGCGTAACAGTTACTTGGGAAGACAAATGTCATCACTCCCAACGTTCCCCGCCCCTTCCTTATGTGTTCCCTCCGGCTGTGTCCCCTCCCAACTCCTTGTGCACCCCCAGCTACTCACTGGTGGGGTAGGGTGAGGAGCAGAAGAGGCCTTGGCTCTGTGTAAGCACTGCTCAGCAGTAACTAAAACATCTCTGTGTTATCAACACTGTTTTCAGCACAAAGTCCCATACTAGCTACTATGAAAAAAATAAACATGCTAAAGCCATGCTGTCCTCATGGGACACATGACCAGCTAGAGTACAGCACATGCTGCTTTAATCACTAAGGTAGTTTTACTGCACCAGCCACCACTGGCACAGAAGTTACTGCCAGCCAGCACAGTGGATCCCTTGGACCCTCTGCCACCAAGAACAAAAGTCTATTCACAGGAGTCAGCCAGTTAGGATGGATGTATACATGCAGCTGCAAAAATACTGTTCTGCATCTCAAGTCGCATATGAATTGACTTTCCTTCCTCCCCACAAGCACCAGCAAAGGGCACCTGCAGGCAGCAGTAAGTCACCAGAGCCTGCTCTCGCCCCGACACCTCGGGCCACAGCTGCTTTGGGGCTGATGGCCCACCAGGACAGGGGATTATGCTGAACAAGAGCGACTACCTCTAATTCCCAGTAATGAGCCCTCTTCCATCACGCCTGGCAGCTGGCTAGATGCCTTGCTGTAGGTCCTGTCTGCTCCGTTGTCATTCCGCTGTTACAAATGGCTCGGCAGCTGAACTTACTTTTCATTATCATCAGCCTGATAACAGCAGTAAGGGCCAGTCTACAGCCCAGCACTGGAAACAAGCCTGGCTTAGGGGCACAAGCCTGGTGGAAACCACAAGCCAGCTGTAACTGCAATGTAGAAATGGTCCAAGGGAGCTGTAGCCTCACTGGGGAGGATAACCCCCCTCGTGCATCCCCCCACCCCCCCATCCCAGCTGCTAGCACAGCGGCTCAGGCAGGTGTACCCTTCACCCATCCCATGCACAGCGAGCTGGATTAGGTCAAACAATTAAAATAGTAACCCTTTGCTAAACCTGACCCTTGTATGATGGGGAATGTGACCCTGGGACCTGAGAGGAGAGGGGGCAGCGATGCCCGCGGGGAGGAGGGCTGTGCCAGGGGCTCATTTCTGCAGCGAGCACAGCTGGTGCCCAGAGCATGTGTGCCTACACCACCAGCACAAGGCACGGCTCAGCTAACCACCGTACCAGAGGGATGACGCACGGTGGGAATAAAACTTTGTTGATTGATAATTCCTCATTTTTAAGTCGATGTACAACACAAAATTATGGAGGCTTTAAGGAAGTCTGTCTTTGGAGAGCAGACGTTACTCCAAGATTACTGAACTGTCTAAAAAAATTTAATCCAATACTACTACTATTTTTTAATGCCACTATCAAAAAGCTGCTGAAGAATGATAGACTGCAGGCCAGATCCTTAAAGGGATTTGGATGCTTTACTTACTACTGAAATCTGGGCAGAAGGCCAGAGTTTTCCCTGGCCTCCCCCACGTAATATGTTCTCTTAGCAGAACATGTGCTTTGACTCCCAGACATTGATGCATTATTTATTTATTTACAGCATGCACCTTTTGCAACCACAACGCTTAAAGTCCCTGGGGATGAAGTAGAAGAACAATTCCCACAGAATCCAAAAGCACTGGCCAGACTCTAGCTTAACTTTAAGAAAAGGGAAAAAAAAGTTTTCTAGTAGCAGCAGCAAAGGGAGAAAAGCAGAAGTGAAATATCCTTTTTCCTGGTATGGCGAATATTTGAATGAAACCTTAAACAATGAAGGGAAATCATTCTGATCCTCCTAGAGCCTGTTGAAACGATATCAAGCTTTATCAGAGCACTGGCTGGAGCAGCTCCAGAGCAGATCAAGCTGGCCTCAGCAGGGATTCCAGCTGTTAGCACTACTTTTGGATTCATTCAAAGCAAACAAGAAACAGGAGATGAGATGTATGACCCAGACTTAATTTAGGTAATTGGTGCACACTAGACTTGCCAGTTTAGCGCACCAGCTAGCTACAAAAGCCGGAGGCTGGATCAAAATAATCAAACCATTTAGCAGGTGAGCAAGTGGAGTGTCAGTAAAAAATTGTTTCCTATACTTTTTCAGCTATTGTGTCCAGAAAAGCCCACTCCTTTTTTGGAAGCATCTCCCTTTAGCCAACTCCAAACCCAAACTAACTATAGCAGGCACTAATGAGCAGGAAGGTACCTAACTTTTTTGCAGTACAATCCATTACAATGGTTATTAATTGTCTTAACTTCCCAGTGTAAGCACTCAGAGCAAATTTCAGCAAAACCCAACCCTCCTTATTTTAAGTTAAAATAGACACATTTGCCTTAACAGCTGAAGAGTTAAAAGCTCTGATATACAGATGCATGCCTTTGCAATCACGCACACATGCCACAGTTTGAAGACCAATGCTCTGGTGGTCTAGTCGACAGCCATAAGTTAAAACCTACAAAACTTGGAAAATGAAAAGCAAATCATCAAGTCTGCAGCTTCTGCACTCTCATTTTCAGAGATGCTAGGTTTCCCAAGAGGGTGCAAATCAACCACCAGTTAAACAAGTAGTAATTACCAGCTTTAGTAAGGAGCCAGGAATCATCAGTAAACTCCACGTTGCACAGAAGCTTGCAAAAATAAGTTATTCATCATTCAGTTTTTAAGCATTACACTCAAGTCAGCCAGAGAAATCTGCAAGTCAAACTGCAAGACGCCAAAGTTTGGAGGCAGATAAAAAACAATGGTTCCATAGAGAGGATTTTTCCCTGCCTCCCAGTGCTTCTAGCAAGGGGAAAAACAAATTCTCTTAGCTGATAGCCAGGACCATGCTGTGAGGCATCATTCTGCTACATTTCATAAAATAAGCAGCACTGGAGTGGACTGATATTTGGAACAAAACGCTTCAGAGAATACCTCAGCTAGAAGACGGTCGTAAGTGGAAACGAACACTGCCTAATAGGAAGCGGCAATGACAGCAGGTCAGGAGGAGATGCTCTCCACGCCTGCTACCGCCCAGCCAGGGCCGCAGCGTGCTCCTAGCGCAGACTGTACAGGTGGTATTGTAACCCTGTACTGATCCCCTATTTTCCTCTCAGAACTAGCACGACCTTTGCAACCAGCAGAGAAAATTCTGACCTGTGTAACTCTATCCTGTCAACACCAACCACCCTTGCAGATTAAGCTAAAGACCCCACAATATGCTTTTCCATTTTCCGCACCAGATTTGTCCTGTACATTCCTGAACAGCAGTTGCTTTTCATCCCTAGAGTAGATCATCTCTGCATACAGCTTGTATATCAAATAGTTAAATTCAGAAGTCACTTGAGAAGTCTGTTAGATGAAAGGTACTATATAGACACAAAGCAATACTGATCTACAACATCACTATGACGGTTGTCTAGAAAAGCAAGATATTAATAAGAATTAATGGTGCTATAGCTTAATACAGCTTTCAGATACATTTTTATTT